GACATCGGTTACGTAACACAAAACTATCAGAAGAGACTCGTATCTAACAACAAAAATAAATGGATTGGTTATCCAAACAATTTCAGCGCCGACTTCGTGTTTATTTCATATCTGTATTAATAAGACATAAATTCGTAATTTATATGTAAAACTATTTGTTCCCAGATATACATTAATTGCTACAAACGTGGAGATGGCGAATGAATTCCATTTTGGAGATAAAGTATGTAAGGTATCTAACAGCACAGCGGTGGAATTGTATATTGAATACTATCATTTAAACGCAAGCGTGGATACATTTTGTACCAATATAACAATGTAAGTCACCGTAAATATATGTCCATAATATATATATAGACTTTTAAAATACAGTTTTAGGAGAAAAGCGCATATATTGGATATTATGTACGAAAAAGAGAGTCACTATGTGAAGTATTCAGATAGCGTGCACGATGACAGGGGGTATAAAACATTATTTGAGGGACAAAAACAAGTCCCGTGACTCTCTCGCTCTTTACGAGATCTCAGCGACCGTTCACGGTCTATTCGATTGTCTTAATAATTCTGACAGAAAACTTGATTGATTCATATTCTCAAAACATCATATTCGCGTTATTTGAATGATGCATGTGATGTTTGTATTGACAAGGCATTTTAATTTAGGAATGTATTTTTTTTTACAATTTTATGTAGTTTTCATTTTATATTTATTACACTCTGTGTGTCAAATGTGACAACAAAGATTGTGCCCCATGCATAACGTGCTATACAACAACACGCATTGATTCGTTGGTTTAGTTCTCCAAAGCTTTTGTATTATTTGAAGATGATGAATCATCACCCGATGGAATCACGTTTCTCTGTGAATAAAGAACTCTCGTAGACTAAAAGCAAGCTTTCACGGTTTATTAAGTACAGGTACCACAATACCTATCCATAAATGAAAACATACTAGGTTGCGTTGTATACATTGATATCACCATACTTTCGTGTCTGTAGGTGTAAAGTGGCTAATTTCAGCGACTACTGTGAGTGGTATTACATAGGAACAGGTTTAGAATACCAGCTTCTTGCTGGACCGCTGTTTGTAGTGCTGTTCAGTGTGATGGGCATACCTGTCTCTCTGTTGATGGAAACATACCCGATAAATCGTAAACTTGTCATCGTGGTATGTGTTGTAATGTGGAGCATCACGGTGGGATTGGTGGGATTTTCAAAGAAATACTGGCACCTTGCAGTGACTAGATTGGCGTTGGCACTATTGTAAGTGAGATTAGATTAAATTAGATTAGATTAGATTAGTTAGATTAGATTAGACCAACTCATCTAGACAAGACTAGATTAAAACTACACTAGACTAGATTAAAACTACGCTAGACTAGATTAAAACTACACTAGACTAGATTAAAACTACACTAGACTAGATTAAAAGTACACTAGACTAGATTAAAACTACACTAGACTAGATTAAAACTACACTAGATTAAAACTACACTAGACTAGATTAAAACTACACTAGACTAGATTAAAACTACGCTAGACTAGATTAAAACTACACTAGACTAGATTAAAACTACACTAGACTAGATTAAAACTACGCTAGACTAGATTAAAACTACACTAGACTAGATTAAAACTACACTAGACTAGATTAAAAGTACACTAGACTAGATTAAAACTACACTAGACTAGATTAAAACTACACTAGATTAAAACTACACTAGACTAGATTAAAACTACACTAGACTAGATTAAAACTACGCTAGACTAGATTAAAACTACACTAGACTAGATTAAAACTACACTAGACTAGATTAAAACTACACTAGACTAGATTAAAACTACGCTAGATTAAAACTACACT